ACCGGTTGGCTATAGCGCAGGAGATAGAGCAGGTCACCTACTGATTGGAAGGTTAGTGGTTCGATCCCAGTCTGCATGTCAAGAGTTTGAACGTAGTTATGAAGCACTCAATTTAGAGGAAGTGGGTGAATGTGGCATGTTGTATAGAGCACTTTGTGTAATCTGGGAGAGTAGAAAAGCACTATATAAGAATCAGTCCATTCACTGTCTGAACAGAGTTTTCTCATGTTACTATTGTGTTCTGGCACATGTTGTTATTACATGGCTTGATTAAGGTACACATTAGGCTGACATCTGGGGGCAGAGCTGAAACTGTTCTGGGCCAGCAGTGTGTCTGCAACTGGCCTTGTGCGGGCCACCTCTGGCAAACCTGATCTGGGCCACCAAAGGGTCGTCATTCTTTGCGGTATGTGGGCCATGTGTAAGCACATTGTGTGGGCCAGATCCGGGCCATACAAATTTTGCTATGTGGGTATAAAAGCACACTACAGTCACTATGCACAAAAAGTGCAGTAAGGACAGTTAATAAGATCGGATATATTTCTAAATTCAAAAATGTGGAAATTCACAGATCTGGTCAGATTTAAAACTGGTCAAATAATATTCAGAAGAAGAAATAATGTGTTACCAAAAATTTTAAATGTTAAGTTCTCACAGACAGAGAGGGGAGCTACATTTGAAAAAACACAAAGCAAGGACAACAACGAGGAGCATGCAGTTAACAGTGTGTGGAGTGGTTTTGTGGAGTAATGTGGAGAAGGCTATACAAATATAAATCAGTTAAAAAATTATATAAAACACCAATAAAGCACTATATGGAAGCGGTGGGGTGTTAAATCTTTATATTAAGAATGACGTATTATAAAAAGCAATACTTTTGGATAGGTGTAGTTAAATGACTATAGATCAGTGTATAAAGGTGTATATGTTAATATAACACAGGACTGTGCATTTGATATTTTTACAAGTATATTTATAGCATATATGTATATTTTAGATTGTATAATTAAAACAGATATATACGATGAATTAATACGAATTGAACTGGATAAGACCAACATTTTTTTTCCCATGTGAATGTGATGACTTTTACTGATTTATACTGACTTATATTGATTGATTAATATTGAGTCTTACTAAAAGGAGTTAGTAGCTATCAAAGATGATCGTAGTTGTGCATTAAGAGGAACTGCTCGTTTGATATCTTGAACGTCATTATTTATATATTTATTTATTTATTTTTAAATCACATGTGATCATATTTGGAAGTTAGTTAATGCTTTCACTAGTTAGGGTGGATGGTTACCGAGCTGTCACTGTGATATTAAATAGGATGCTGATTTTGGCAACCAAACAACAGACTTGAAACAAAATGTACCTACTGGGGAAAATAAACAGCTGATTCCTTTTCTTCTTATATCTCAGTGCTGAATAGGGCAAACCCAGCTGTCAATCAAAGGGCTTACACCCCTTATAATCAGGCTGGTCTACGAGTCCCTGCCCCTGATAAAAATTTAACAAATTCCCAGTGGGGTTAAAGTGTAAGTAAAATTGGCTTTCACTTTCAGTCTGAGAAGACTAGCAGGAAGGATGATCTTAGCTATTTCAGAGCAAAAGCTACTCCTAATCAAATAAAAGAGGATTAAAAAGGATTCAGAGTGACAGATTTTGCAGTATTCTCATGAAAAAGACAGAAACATTTCTACTGAATATCAAATACTCACCTGGTTGTTGACATCAGAATTTCCTACACTGGTGAAGTCTTCTTATATCGCTGAACCAGGGCGGCTGTCTCACATTCTGCACTTAGAAACCGTTGTTTTCAGGATGTCTGTGAAGAAAAGTTATGTACACGGATTGTTGGCTTTGCAGTTGATGGTGGAGTTGTGGTGATGGGCTGATGGGGAGGTTGCAACCACATTTCTGCGTTACATCATCCCTAATATAACTGTCATTTAGTGCATTGTTCACATTTAGAACTTGTGGTCCATGATGCTGTAAAACACATTAGAGAGCTGAGTCATTTTCACACATTTATTAGTTCGTTGATCTCAGCAAACGAACACGTTTGCCTCCTTCTCAGTCGGAAGATTCACATATATGGGTAAAAGAGGGTTTACAGATGACAGATTTCCTCTATGGGAAAAAAATATGTCATTAAAGCAGAGAAAGAAAAAATCTGCTGGGACAGAATATCATATTTTGTGTTGTTTTGTAATTAGCACAGCTGGCCAAATAGCACAAAGTGAAAGAAGTCACAAACGAAACAGTCTGTATTGCCTTGTTTTATTGGCAATAAAATATTACACATTTTAGTTTCACTTAGAAACTACACAGCAGAGTATACGCTATTGTTATATGTTTAAGTTCTGAACTTTCAAAATTCACAATTATTCTATAAACATTACATTGAGAATAGAATACATTTTAAAAAAAGTTCTAATAGGCTTAAAAATATACAGGACCACTCTAGTTTCTAAATTATTTTCATGGAAAAAGAAAAGCACATATCACACTCTGCTTATGATCCATATGTTTAAGCCTTTGAACAAGTAGAATTTTTTTTTATAAAATCTCCACGCCTTGTACAGCTGCCATGAATGGGGGAAATCATCTATAAGAACCAAATCTGTTTTTTCCTCAGGATGTACAAATGCTTTTCAGTTCAGTTCAGTTCAGTTCTTTTTTATTTCAAACATGCTCTCCTGCTGTAAGTTTAGCCATCTTAACACGCTCCTCTTTTAAAGCTAGCATCAAGTGGCCACTAGAGAAACTGTTGTTTCTAGCACTTCTATTAATGGATTCGGTTTTATCAACCTTTCCAGACTTGTTTTGACACGGTGAGGCAATGAATGAGAGAAACCACTTAAACTATTACTCATTTGGCCAACTATGTGTGGTACACAGGTATCATCCCACTCTGTCGGTAACCTTCAAATAGACTGGCAACTTCCTTGAACTTTATGCTATTGTTGGAGTCATAATCAGATAAACTAAAAAAAAAAAAGAAAATTATAAAATTAGTCCCACGTGGCCTTTGTATCCTTTGCATATGCAGCTGGAAAGTATGTTGTTATTGTTACTTTCACTTCTCATGCTTTTTGCCCTAAAAGCTGCAGTTCAGAGTTCACTACGGACACCGGAAACATAGTGAAACGTGGGAAATTCGACTCCGACATTTAGACAACAAATATCTTCAATCGGGAATATCACTAAAGAGAAGTGTGATCATATTTTTGAGACAACAGCTGTGACAACATTTCTCAGCTAAAAGGCTTTACCAGCAAAGAAGTTTATGACCGTACAGCACATAAATAATATTAATTGCAGTAGCTATGTGTTATTAAGAAAGCTTAGGTTACTAGTGACTACTTACTTGTTGCTCGTTGGTGTGGGAGTGAAAATAATGAGCACGGCTCAGTTCCCTTTCTCCAGAAGTATTTTGCTTTTGGTTTCCTCAGTGTCAAATTTCCTTAAAGGGACAGGCACCCTTTTTCTTGCTGCTTGCATTCAGGTTTTGAGTCCAGTATGAGGTTGATTTAGATTTTTTAATTCTTAAGGATACATTTGTGCTTTACTTCAGAATTGCTTTTCCTCTTATCTGCCTCCAGTCTGTCTGTGTGTGTTTGTGTGTTGCAGTGTTGGTCACTCTGCAGTGAAATCTATGGATGTGCGTTAGTGTGTGAGGTGAGCTTCAGGGTTGCAGGGCGGTGTGTGCTGAAGAGATAAGGGCTGGGGATTGCTGATACACTGCTACCATTAATCATGGTTTAGTAGCCGCTTGGCCTCCGAAACCCCCGAAGCTTTGGTGCGGGAAAAGTACTGAAGTTCTTCAGAGGAAGATGCAACGACTCAAGAGGAAAACACTCCTGTAGCTGTAGAAAACAACATTCAGTCGAGCTCTTTCTTTGGTTTAGGGGGTTTTCATACTTACAGATCAGCCAAAGCGAAACTTGAAAAGACAGAAGAAGAAAAAAACAGTCACTAGCCACTTTATTGGATGCAACTGCTGTTCAACTACCTAATCAGCCAATCGCATAGCAGAAACTGCATTTAGGTTAACATGGTTAAGATGACCTGCTGAAGTTCAATTCAGTATCAGAATTGAACAGAAAGGTGATTTAAGTGACATAAATGTGCAGTGGTTGTTGGTGCCAGAGGGGCTTATCTGATTATTTCAGAAACTGCTGATGTACTCATAACTATTTCTAAGGTTGACAGAGAATTGTGTTACTGATGCAGGAGGAAAAATAAACAGCATAAACAGCAGTTCAGGATCCTGTTGTATCTAATATATAGTTCAGTGTGGCCCTGCAGACCAACATTCCAACAAATATGCAAATACAATAAAAAGATCAAGTAACTAAAGTCAGAGAGATCCTATTTTCCACTCTACTTGTATAAATAATTGACCTTTTTAAGTGACTTTGCACCTCTGAGTGTGCTGTGCAGTGCCTGTATGTGCACCACTCTCCCCATTATATTTTTTAGCATGATTTCTTTTCATTAGCGCATTCTGTGTGCGTTTTAATCAGCTGCAGCACAAAACCTGCTCTACATTTTGTGGCCTAATTTTGCTAAACTTTGATGTCAGCAGTTTCCCTCTCAGACTGTCGAAGCTTCACTCACCCATTCCTCCCTCTCAGAGAAGATTACTGGCAGTATCTGGCCACCACCGTGTTAAATAAGGAGGTTCAGGGTCATGGAAATTTCCCCAGTTCACCATGGATCAGTGTGGTTGAATGCCTTAGAGGGGATCCTGCTGCAGTACTGGAGAATCATCCATGTAGGGTTTTATGTTAAGATATAATAAAGACACGGGGATAATGTGATTTAAATAAGACCCGTTTTACTCCCATTTCACCTCTCTTTTCCCAACCAAACTATCTCTTTTATTCTCATTGTCCTCGCTGACCCAAATACCCGTCCTTTCATCCAAAACATCTCATTCTCTCATCTTCCTCAACATATACTTACTCTCCTCTCCCTTTGGTGTGCAGTGCCTCTGTCATGCTCTGAGGGATTCACAGAACTGGGATACTACAACGGCACCGTGTCGCAGACAGACTCTGGTGCCCCCTGTCTGAAATGGACTGAGTTTCCAGACTATGTCATGCAGTACCCGGGCCGCGGCCTGGGTGACCACAACTACTGCAGGAACCCGGATCGCGAGTCCAACCCGTGGTGTTTCTTCCGACAGAACTCAGGAGCAATTGGCTGGGCCTACTGCGACTGCCACCAGGGTATATCCACAGACGCTCTGAACAGTTCATGCATGATTAAAAACAAGTTGACCTTTAAATGATTTCATTCCACATTTAGTGCTGTGCGCATCCCCCCCCCCAGCAGATTCAAATGAAACATTTGTTAGCTGTTGGTTAAGCTGTTCACAAGGTTTTCACACCAAAAAAAAAGGGGAAGATACTCTTTTATGTAAAAGGTAATATCTGCAAAACAACTGCAACAATTCAAAATCCAAAGAAATTTGGTGTGTAAAGATAAAATTCTATTGATACTTGGCAGTCATGACTGATTAATGACTGAGCTTCAATAACGTATGGACCCTTTGTGCACAAGTTCCTTGAACTGCATTATTTTAAATGTCCAAAAGGGGAATGTGACGCTGTTTTTCATTTTATTTATTTTAGTAAATATTTTCCTGATGAGTTTATATTCTCAATGCAAGTTTGAAGAGTTCTTTAAATCAGCAGCATGTTCATTTTGTAAATTGTGGCTCCAATTACAGTAAAACAGTCATAAACCGAACCCCAGTTCCTCTTGTAATGGAGAATAACTTCTAAATCTGGTTTCTGGCATGTAAAATCTAAACTTTCTATATCAGTATTACTCAATTTAAAAATAAGCCTCTGACTGGCTCAACAACCAATTTCTAAACTGATTAGAGTTCCAGGTATTTCAAATGTTACCAACATCTATGAATTTAATGTATTTAATAGAATAACGGCTTTCAAATCCATGTGATTGTGGGGCTTTTAGTATTTATTTACACTCACCTGACACTGAGGATCCCTTTTTTCCTTCACAACTGCTTCAGTTGTTTGTCGCTCAAATTCATCTAGATGTTGGAAACAATCCTCAGAGATGTTGGTACCTACTGACATGATAGCATCACATTAGTGATGTGAATCTCTTGTTCCACCACATTCCAAAGGTGCTCAGTTGGACTGAGATCTGGTGACTGTGGACTCACTCAGTCAGTTCAAGAAACCTGTTTGAGAATACCCGATCTTTGTGACTCAGCACGTTATCCTGCTGGAATGCTTTCATGTTGTTTACAAAATGTTCTCACACTAACATGTGTGTGTTGCAGCAGAAATCAAGACTCAATAGACCAGGCAATGTATTTCCAATCAAATGCAAACTGTAGCCTCTGTTTCCTGTTCTTAGCTGACAGGAAGGACACGCGATGTTTTCTTCTTCTGCTGTAGTCCATCTGCTTCAAGGTTCTACATGCAGTATGTTCAGAGATACTCTTCTGCATACCTTGTAATGAGTAGTAGCAGGACAGAGGTACACGCTTCTGCTCACTACATATTTTTTCTTTTTCAGACCAGTCTCTGTAAACCTTAGAGATGGTTGTGTGGGAAAATCCAAGTAGGTCAGCAGTTCCTCAAATACCAGCCTGTCTAGTACCAACAACCATGCCACATTCAAAGTCACATTTTATCCACTTTGTGTTGCTCAGTTTTAACTTCAACAGTATCATTTTGATTAAATGCACTGAGTTGTTTCCACATGGTGTACCTAACAAAGTGTCTGTTGAGTTAATTTTATCTGATAAATGTAAATGCTTTTTAAAAAAACAAAACAGGCCACTGGTTTTGTGTCATCTTGTAAAACTGGTCTGCTGGGAAAACAAGTTTAGTTTTGTATAGCTATATATTTGCTATGAAACAACAGACAGCCACAGATGATTACGAGCTGTTGCATGTATTGGAGGGATTAGCATTTGAAGAGACAGATATTCCCCTCTGGACAAACGAGTTTAAAGGATGACTGTCGATTTTAGATACACCTGAAACCAAACTTCAAAGGAATGCTAATGTTTGTCTGCAGGATGTGTCAACAGACAAGTGCTTGATAAAGTGATGTAGAGGTGTTCAGTGCTGAATATTGAATCAAACAGTGGAGCTCTGCCAGAGATACGATCACAATCTAATAACTGAATAACAAACACCTTGATGAGCAGTTAACCTCACAGTATGTGTGATGCCTGTGAAGATGAGTTTGTACTGAACGTATTTGGGTTATTATGTCAAAATTATGTTTATTATCTACTTGTGTTGCCATTGTGAATTTTTGAGTTTTCTGATCATTAAAATTTGCGTGTTTGTGATTTTAGGTGCTACACGTCTGGTTGGCAGCTCGATCTCTGGCAGCGGGCGAGTTGAGGTTTACCTGAACGGCCAGTGGGGAGCAGTGTGCGACTCTCACTGGACAGACCGGGATGCCAGTGTGATCTGCAGACAGCTGGGTCTGGGGTAGGTCGGATGAAACACCTGCTACGAGTTACAGTGACGTGCGACTGATGTAAAAAGTTCATTCTCACCGGTGACGTTTCTATTTTCAGCGATATCGGCACAGCGTTGCAGCACTCTCAGTTCGGCTCGGGCTCTGGCCTATTTCACTACGAACGTCTAGGTTGCCGCGGTGATGAGAACACCCTGAGTAAGTGCCGGAGCAGGATGTTCGTCACTGGTGACTGTAGCCATGGAAACGAAGCAGCAGTGGTGTGCGCACCACCAGAAGGTCAGTGTGACTTCCACAATGTTGTGGCAAACGCACCTGAATGTTTCGGCCCATACATAAGAGGCACAGAGCGATTCGGTTCCAATAAAATGTGTGTGAGAGCATTCAAGGTGGATGCTGCTGGATCTCATGCCATCTCCTCTCAGGCAGTGGCCCTCCTCTGCGACTGGTTGGAGGTGAGGAAGACTTTGAAGGTCGTGTGGAGGTGTTTCATGCAGGAAGGTGGGGCTCTATCTGCGATGACCAGTGGGACGACAGGGACGCAGAGGTGGTGTGCAGACAGCTCGGTTTTGGGTACGTTCACACCTCCACCACAACTAGATAAGAGATGTATGGAAACATTCTGATCTTTGTCCTAGTTTAAAGGTTACGTTGTGAGCCTCAGGCCACAGAGACACCTGCTGTAGTAGGAGAGCCACAAATGTACAGATGAAGAAAGCAAACACTATGCCTGTTTTAAATTGGCTTTCTATCCCCTCTAAGGTCTTCTCCTTGTGCACCTCTGGACCAGGTCCAGAACTGCTGCTATTTCTAGATCACTCCCTGTATGTCCTGTTCTCACCACCTGGCAAGTTGACCCAACTTTCATGTCAAGGATCGTCACCGGCTCGATCTCTGTTCACGAATAAGAGGCCAAACAGTTTTCAGGGGATAAGTGTACTCCTAAAGTAGCAGGCAGCATATGTACTGCGGTACCTGCAGAGTCTTTTATGTCTGTCACATGTTCTCAGCATGAACCTGGTCTCATTGGTAAAGAGAACCGGGTGCCACTGGCACTGCCTAAAGATGATGAGTGCTCATGCATCCCTCAAAGTCTGTTTGCGACAGTTAGGTTAGAAGAATGAACTTGAGTAGCCCGCTGCAGGTCCCTGTGTCGGTCTGACAGTGAGCCTCCTGATTGTACAATCGTACTCAAACAAAGAAGTAGATAACAGTTCAGCTGCTGGCTTGTCCTTCTATAGCCTTGCCCAGCTCTCCTCTTGTAACAGCCCGGAGACACAGCAAACCTTCCTGTGACGGGACGTATGGATACACCAGCCTGAAGGAACTGGAGCATCTGTGCAACACTCAGAGTGTAGTATTCTGTGGCCACCACCTGCAAAACCATTCTGTCATGAACCAAGGTTCATACACACAGAGTGGGGATCAAAAAGCAGACTCAATACAAAATTCACAGGAACTATGTACAGATTTATTTCTCTAACATAAATGATCAGGAACAACCAAGGGAACGAGAATAAAACTCAAGCCGAGGAACTGAAATTCCCTGGGAAGCTGTGATCTGGACCGTGGGAAGCTGCAACAGAAAGGGGAACAATTACTTGTGTGCAGGAAGGGAGAGAGTCAAAACTAAACCAGAATTAGAATGCTGTGGCTTACAATCAGAGTCAGACCGTGGGGCTCGGATGGGAGGGTGTCCGTGGGAGAGAATCCAAGGAGGGAGAGACGGAGACTGAGGGAGTTCTCTTGCACGCAAAACATGCAGGAGATGTCTTCAATTGCCAGACGGTGACCACTAAGAGTGACTAACGGACTGGCGTGGAGCAGCCATCCGCGCTGGGTGAAATAGTTCTCCGGTAATTGGTAATTAGATGGAATACAGGTGCGATGCTGTCGACCCAACCCGAGGGCGTAGCCACTGAGTCAATACGAACACTACCTGTTCCCACGGACCATGACACATTCCCTTTTTGGGACAGTTGTTGCTGCCTCTCAAGTGCACCTGTTGTCAATTTTATTTGCACTAAAGCAGATGAAATGGATTCACAGTGGTTTATGGTTCCAAATTGGAAAGATTGATATCCCTGAAGTTTAATTAACGTTGTGTATACTGTGATGTTTGTGTGTTCCCTTAATTTTTTGAACATGGTATATAAATATGGGGTGTGTGCTGTGTATTGAACTCCCCCAGGGTCTCTGACTGCATTTACATTACTGTAACTCTTTGATGCATCTGATGGAGAAAGAGCAAACGGCACATTGGAAATGCAGGATTTTTATTAGCCAAAGCAAATGTATCACACCACCTGCCCTAGATGCCCGATTTGGCTCCCTGTGACTTTGTCCTTAAAGTGTTGCCTTTTTGACTCAGTGGAGAAGATCCAGCACATATCCCAAGTGTGCAGGTTGTTGCAGGGCTGCTCAAGGAGACGACCTTTAGGGGGATAGCAGCCAAATGTAAATCCGGTCCAGGTTTTTATGTGTGGAGTTGCATAACTTTTTGACTGCACCTTTTGCTTGTGCAGGTGTTTATTTGTCCCACTCTCAGTGGAAAGACTAATGGCACCACAATTACACAAGATTTACAGGTTTGCAGTGTGGCAACTGAAACTGACTGAATTGATGGGGCATTGTGGATGACACAAATATAGGGAACATTCAGCTCTGGAAATTTCACTAATCACTTTACAAACAGAAGATGCCAGTATCTTTAAAATCCCAGAAATGATCCCTCCATCCATCCATTCGCTTCTGCTTATCCTTTTCAGGGTCGCGGGGGGCGCTGGAGCCTATCCCAGCTGTCATAGGGCGAGAGGCAGGGTACACCCTGGACAGGTCGCCAGTCTGTCGCAGGGCCAACACACAGGGACAGACAACCATTCGCACTCACATTCATTCGCACATTCACACCTAGTGACAATTTGGGTTATCCAATTAACCTATCCCCACAAGCTGCATGTCTTTGGACGGTGGGAGGAAGCCAGAGTACCCGGAGGGAACCCACGCAAACACGGGGAGAACATGCAAACTCCACACAGAAAGACCCCGGCCTGATGTTGGAATTGAACTCAGGACCTTCTTGCTGTGCGGCAACAGTGCTAACCACCGTGCCACCGTGCTGCCCCAAAAAAGATTTAAAACTGAATTATTTATCAGATGCCGTTGAGTAAGCTGGAGATGTTCAGGATTCTCCAGCAGAGCAGATTACAGTTTGTCTCATCTTGAAAATACTTCCTCACACACAGAATGTAAACCCTACGGAGAAGAAAGTGAAGATCTTCCTCCATGTTTAACACGAGGTTGCATTTCATCTCCCGAAACACCGGGGGACACCTCACCATCTGTGTTTGTGCGTGTGAATAATAGATGTCCTGACACTGATGCAGCTGTGTACAGCTGTGCGCTGATGTGTTTTGACACGCAAAACAAAACGAAGCAAACTCGATTTGTTTTTCCCCACATGGATTGTATTCGTTATTTTTTGTTTCGCTCTGCAATAGATAGAGAATACGTGTCAAACATGTAGACACTTTGCATGTTGGCACTAGCTAACACTACTCCTCCCTGTGAACAAACAGCAGAGGAAGAAAAACTCAAATCTGTGACAATAATCATTTACAAGAGTTCTGCATTTAGTACTTTAATTTGAAGTGCAAGTTTTTAAATATAATGAGGAAAATGGAGAAGTAAAAACATTAAATGTAAGTAATGAATGAAAAACACAAGGTTTTACTTTTTTTTAAATTGATTAAAAAAGTAAATTATTGAACTAATAAATAATTCACTAATGAATTGATGATTCATATGAAAGAAAATAAGAATTCTTTTTAAAATTATATCTGAGAGGCTGTAATTACAAATGTTCAGTATACATTTACCACCCATATTTGTATTTTATTTATACAACGTTTATTTGTAAAATTTAAACAACACATGTTAACACGAGTGCATTTAAACAGAATGCAACTATACAGTGCATATAAAACGTTTAGCCACAGCTACCTTGCAGACCGTGTCCCTGGTTGGGCTTTTTAAAGACACAACATATCAGATCAAACAGAAAACAGCAACAATGACCACACAAGCCATAATTTTGCCTGTTAATTAAAATTTTTAAGATTTGATGGCAAAGAGTTCAGAATCTGTGCGCCTTTTAAAATTTAAGAAGCTGTACTGAATAAATTTCACTGTATAAAATCATTTCTAGATAATTTCCAGCCCTTCCCTGCTTCCCGTACTCTGATTCCTCCTATTTTTTCATATTTATAAATAACAAATAATTAGTTAATGGTTTTCCTGCAACATTTTGTACAGGGTGGGCCATTTATATGGATACACCGTAATAAAATGGGAATGGTTGGTGATATTAAAGTCCTGTTTGTGGCACATTAGTATATGTGAGGGGGCAAACTCCTCAAGATGGGTGGTGACCATGGTGGCCATTTAGAAGTCGGCCATCTTGGATACAACTTTTGTTTTTTCAATAGGAAGAGGGTCATGTGACACATCAAACTTATTGGTAATGTCACAAGAAAAACAATGGTGTGCTTGGTTTCAACGTAACTTTATTCTTTCATGAGTTATTTACAAGTTTCTGACCACTTATAACATGTGTTCAATGTGCTGCCCATTGTGTTGGATTGTCAATGCAACCCTCTCCTTTAGGACTTTAATATCACCAACCATTCCCATTTTATTGCGGTGTATCCATATAAATGGCCCACCCTGTAGTTTGATATGTTTTACTTTTCTTTTTAACAAACCTGCTGCATGCTATTTTTAGGTTAAACATCACTTTTAGCACAAGCAGAAGCACAAAAGGGCTTTTTATAGCAAGCTGGGATTAAGAAGACATCACAAAAAAAGCAGTTTATTATTTTGGATGATTTTATTTATTCAAAGAGTATCTTTAGAGTATTTTTTTTGTCGTAGTCGTGTTTTTCAGAGTTATATCCAGCAGACTGACAGATTTTGTGTCAATGAATCGTCCTGGGAAAGCTGATCGTTTTGTGCGACACTGTGTAGCTTTATCAATGCCAAATTGTTGGGTCTAAACATGCAACCCTGCTGGAATCAGACCACGAGAGACTGCGAACAGAACACAAGATCCACTCGTACGTATTACTTACAAGGGGAGAGCTAGCACACCTGTAGCCAACTCCAAAGCTCCAGTCTCCCCTCACAGCTTTCACTCCGTTACACAACCTCTCACCGTAAAACCCATGTGGTGTATCGTAAAACCTAAGTCACTGTGTGTGTGTGCATGCATGTGCAAGCACGTGAGTGCATGTGTATGTGTCTCTGTAGATGTGACTTCCTGCCACACAATATATGCTTACAACTGTTCAACCACATTTCCTAGTTATCCAAAGGTCATCTCCCCTCATCTGTATATGGCTTAACCCCTTTAATGGTTCGCCATATACAAGCACAGGCGAGCCCCTAAATGGCTGGGAGTAGCCATCCCTTACCAGATAAGGAACCAGAAGCTTTAGATGGAATGTGCCTGCAGTTAAACACTATAACCTTCTCTACCATCCTGCATGTGGGGGAGGAGAACAGAAGAATATCTAAACATGCAGTTTAAGACAAGGTTTACAAATTTAAGCACAACAATGACAACATTTAACAATTCACCCCAACACAAATGTTGTGGGACGACAGTTTTGTACTATTCACTGTTTGGCTGCCTGACAGCATTTTATCTGATCCCTTTGTTTAAGTAAAACTGCCATCACTTGTTTGACTCTGTCAGTTAACCTGATAAATAAACTGAGGTGTTGAGGTAATTGGTTTTTAACTATTTATTAATGGCCTATTTATTCTCAGGTCCCTCTACTACCCTCTCTGCTCCTTTAGACAATATACTTATCTTATCTTAAGTAACCTTCTGGAAAAACCTGTGTGTGTGTGTTTGTGTTGTAGCGGTGTGGCGAAAGCCTGGTCCTGGGCTCACTTCGGTCAGGGTTCAGGTCCCATCCTGCTGGATGCGATGAAATGCACAGGAAACGAGCTGTTCCTGGATCAGTGTCCTCATGGCAACTGGGAGCAGCACAACTGTGACCACATGGAGGATGCTGGGGTCTCCTGCAGCCCTTATACAGGTACACGCACCCAAACACACGCACATATACACAGTCACACATAGCAATTGTACACACTGATGAGCTTAAAGCTGCTATTTATAGCCGCTGGGCTCTGAACATCAATAAATCATTACTGCATAGAGCAGCAACATCCTGTTTGTGACAAGTAGGAACAGGATTTATGTGAGCCGAGCAGTAACATATCAATACATGTGACCAAACTCCAAAAATACACATTTTAATATTAATTTCAGATGTAGCATCTATAAAACAGAATCTTCCCTTTGAGAAAAGAGGATCTGATTTTTGCTTATAACCACAAAATGTTTCAGACGGTGTGGTGCGTCTGGTTGGAGGAGACAGTCCCTGGGAGGGCCGAGTCGAAGTGTTTCATAACGGTGACTGGGGGACGGTGTGTGACGACCACTGGACCCAGCAGCATGCAGAGGTGGTCTGCAGGCAGCTGGGTTACAGGTATGAACACAGTTTTAGTCTTTTTGCATGCAGCTTTTTTCAGTGAAAATTGCAGCTGCACTCTTTGCACCCCAAGTTTGCCATAGTTAAAACTAAGAAGACTGCTGTTTGCATTTTGATCACTTTATAAGTAGATGATAAACTCTTCTCATCTCCAGGGGTCACGCTGAGGTCGTATCTGATGGGACGTTTGGCGAGGGCGTGGGCCTGATCCTCCTGGACGATGTCCAGTGCGAGGGATCTGAAACCTCGCTGCTGGATTGCCAACATGGGATTTGGGGACGGACCGACTGCTCCCACAGCGAGGACGTCGGTGTTCGCTGCAGAGGAAGGTCCGATGAGGAGACTAATGAGGTGCCGGTCATCGCACCTTCCACAGGTGAGTGATGGGGATGATTTCATGCAGTAGTTTAGGATGAATCAGCCGATTCGTTTTTTAAATTCTGAAACATTTTTAACTTTTGGGATAATTTTCCTCAGGATCCGCCCTTTACACACCTCCAATACATTCTGGTAGTGTCACATAATGCTTTTAAGTGAGAGGGAGTCAAGTAGACAAATACATTCCTGGGAAAATTTTCGCTGCTGGATCCCTGCTTTGTGTTATGAGCATCTTTTGAGGCAAACATGTTTGTCACTCAAGGTTTTCCACTTTTTATGATTCCATCACATCCTTCCTGATAGTTTCGGCAGTGTCCCACCAGGAATTGACAGATTCTGACATCTGTGAGACCTTATATTGAGGCGATGGCTGTTATTCTCTCAATAATAACTGATAAACGCTAAAAAAGCTGCAAAGAAAACGTAGTCAGAAATGCATAGGAGGAATCTGCGGTACTGAACAGGCCAATCGGAGTAGTCACAGCTGTTTCAGGGGAGTTATTGCACACATACGACGCAGATTGAACGCAGAAGTTTAAACCAACTGTAAGTCATAATTTATATACAGCCTTTGTTGTGAACAACTTGAGGCTACCGCCTTGCCGAAGGACATTATAGCAGCAGCACTCACCACTTAGATTTATTTCCCCAAACTGGCAAACCTCCAGAGCTCTCCTCCTCACCCTTTAAGCCACTCATGCCCAGTGTTTGTATGGACAAAAATAAAGATCAGGTTTTAAAAATAATAACTTGAATTAAATTTACAAAGATATATTTCCTGTCTCAGAACATAATCACAATTTTAAAGAGTTTATTTTCTTTTTCACATAGTGGAAGAAATAAACCAGTTAAACCAGGAGTATCATTGCACCGCACTGCAGAAATTTGGTGGTGCTGAAATTTATTTTGCCACAAAAGGGCAAGATGTTGCTGCAGGCCGCTGCTCGCATGCTGCCTGCCTTCCTTGTTTACACTGGTGTTTTTCTGTCCAAATGGTTTACATGTCACATGCTGACAGCTGTGAAAATAAAGCGATGTTACTGGCTCTGTTCTCCAGAGGTCCTGCTTCTCCTGTCGACACACACAGTCCATTAGAATGAGAACAGCGGCCGGATAAAGAGACACTAGATGACATTTAACACCGTCAGCGGACATACAGCTACCGTCTCTGTAGATGCACAGGCATGAATATGAATGAGCGTTGTTTTTCTTTTCTTTTTATTGGTTAGGTCCCCTGGTGCGTCTTGTGGGTGGCAGCAGCAGGAAGGAAGGTCGAGTCGAAGTGTATCTCCATGGTGACTGGGGAAGTATTTGCGACTCAGGCTGGAACGATCTGAACGCAGCCGTGGTGTGCAGACAGCTTGGACACAGGTTAATGTTTGTGAGGGTGAATGAGAGATGACAGTTTTAGTGAAAACAAAAACATACCATAAAGTCACATCTTCTTGAATGTGTGTCATCCCCAGCGGTCGAGCAGTTGCAGCTGGAGGGTTTGGTCAGGGGAAAGGACCCGTCCACCTGGACCAGGTGAGGTGCACAGGGAAAGAGGAGTTCCTAGGCGAGTGTCCCTCTCTGGGCCAGAGCATCCAGGGCTGCAGACGAAGGGAGGATGCAGGGGTACGGTGTGACATCACGCCACGAGAATCAACGGCACAGATTAAGCCTGAAGAGCCGAGCTGTGGGCTGAGGAAGATGGCCGAGGAAGATGGCAAGAGGAGGAATCAGGGAGAGGAAAACATACTCAGGTAGGGGGAAAAAAATCAGGTAAAACAGAATTAATGAAAATTTAAACCTGTTTTGCTTCACTTCTCAGACCATTTTCTCTAAAATATTCTCAAAAATATTCTCATTGGTAGCTTAACTGGATAGACAAATATATATATAAATATTTGGCTCACCTCCCACCTCCCGCTGGATTATTCATGCAACCTGTGGCTTTCACAGAAATAACATATACAGCACATGCAGGACTTACAGGATTAATACTATTAAAAACGGGTTTTCTAAGATTCTTAGTTTATAATAATTTGTATGCAATTTATAAAAAGTAGAAAAAAGCTGATGGCTGAGTTGATCTCTTTCTACACATCCAGTTAGTAAACTTCATATAAGACACACTATTTAAATTGCTTTTGCCTGCCTGCAAGCTGCTTTGCAACCCACCTCCACCCCGGCTCCTCTTTTCTGTGGTGTGTCTGACTTGGACCTGCTGACCTGCTGCTCCCAGAGCAGACATATGAAACGTTTGGCTAGCTGGTGAATCTTGCACAACTTTTGCTTCCGAGTTGGAAAACATCACATATTTTGTGGTTATTTTGGTTTGACTGACATTTATATGTTGAACAAAAGTTAATTTGAAAGGGCAACAAGATCAAAAAGAGAAGCAGGAAGTAGTTTTGATCTGTTCGTTCTTCTTGCTCAGGACCACGTGGCCATGGCAGGTGTCTGTGTGGCTTCGGTCTCAGGAAGAAGACAGCAGTCCTCTCTGCAGTGGCACTCTGATCAGCCCCTGCTGGGCCCTGACGTCTGCATACTGTGTCACCAGGTAAATCCAAAGCAATATTAATAAATCAGTTTCTACATTGCAGTGGAACCACTCAGCGCAGTAATACACAAGTGTAAATTACCCTTAAGTTGCTTCTGTCTCTCTCCTGAAGGTTTGGCGGCGATCCGTCCCGGTACGTGGTGATAGTTGGGGGGTCCGAGCGGCGCCTCACACCGGAGCAGGTGGTGGTTCACAGGAAGTTTAAGGGTCAGAGCGGTGGACACGATCTGGCTTTGCTTAAGCTACCTAACTCAAAGAATCACTGTCTGACCTTTGATCCCAACACCAATGCAGCATGCCTTCCTGCCACTGACACAGACTCAGGGGGAAGTACTCCATCTTCTTGTGTGGTCACGGTTACAGCTGGCTGGACGGGTCCAGGTAGGCAGTTATATAAAGATAAAGTCTGAAAATATGTTTTAGATGAAACATCTGGGTGGAGGAGATCACCAGTTTGTGAGTAGTGTGTTTCAACACAGGTGCACAAATTTGCAGAAGTACAAGAATAACCTGGAATTGTGGAATTTTTGAGGTTTACTTTGACCAGTAAGTTTTATAGAAGGTGCTGGGCTACAAATCAGAAACACTCTCATTCTGAAAATCTGTTCAGTTACATCTGCAGTAACATCTTTAATGACAGTCTAACATTCAACAAACAAACGTATAGAACAGTGAAAATCAGCAAATCTTCATATCAGTATTTTATAGAGGACAGAATATAAATGAGAGAGCAGATGAGCTGGACTAGTGTCAGGAGCAGGATCCCAACAACATGTGGCCGGATTGCTATGAAATTACTATGAAATTTAATACAGGTTTTCCTTTTCCACTGCAAACAAATCACAATGACATCAATGAGTTCCTAACTTTTCCTCTGGCGCCACCGTGTGGTTAATATGTGCACTGTTTGATGAAACTAGCCCTCAGTGGTACATGGATTAACAGGAAACTGCATTTCATTTCATTCCCTGTGATTTGATTTTGTTTAATTAATAGTGAAAGTGCTAATTGACCAATAGGAAAATAACTGTAAATGAGCCATGACTCTAAAGGTTCATTTGTATCTGTTGTCTGGTGAAGCCAGTTACAGCAGCTGCTTGAAAATGAAAAAGAATTGTCTCAGTTATCACATGCAGTAGAGCTAATTCATACTGACAAAAAAATTAGCAAAATGCACATCAATCATCAGGCTACGTAACACAAAAGGCAACGAAGAAACAGAAAACATGACACACGCACATCTAAGCCCTCCCACAAGATGAATTTTAATAACTCTGGAGATCCCATCACATTTCATCGTCTTTGTTCAAATACTTGTACAACAATGGCATTTCCATCAGCTGCTTCTGTACTGTCGGGTGCTAATTAGCAAAAGTTAGGGCTTACATTAGAATACTAACAACCCCACCCCCCGCATAATCACGGCTTCACAGAGCTGCTGTAATCTTTCTAAAAATGCTCTAATTTGCAGACTTTTTCCAAAGCAGAAATATAAATGTTGGATTAAGCCATATTCAAAATTATTGTTTCATTTTGTTGCGACATTTCGAACTGAAGGCCTTCACAAAGTGATTACATTTTTATGATAACATGCAAAGAAAATGTAACAATAATCTTGAATAACTGAAAAATTAAGGTACTGATCACAGAACAACATCAATTTTCAAGACTTTGTTTAAACAGATCGTCAGATTCTTACTATAACGATCAGTAGTTCATACAATGAATGGCAACAACACCTTTATCCAACCGTAGTTAAAGCAGATGGGCTACAGCAACAAAACCCAAAATTAGTAAAGTATTAGTATAATATTGTTATTATTAATTATTGAATTAGTGATATGTTGATGATTTTAAATACTTCTATATATTCCTTAGTAGCTTGATCTAAAATAATGCAATTAATCTGAGAAGTTATAAGTAACTAAAACATTAAGTAAATGGAGTATGAAGTTGAATATTCACATTCAGAATGCGATGGAGTAAAATCAGAGCGCAGCATAGTACAAGTACTTGAATAAATATACTCTGTAACATTCCTGCTGGCTCTGTCCATGCTCTCATCCAGTGGTTTTGGGGACTATAAGATTAATGGTACTCTACTCCAGTGGCTATGGTGGGGTGGGGGTTCAGGAAGGGTTGGTGCCACTCTATGCGATTCTTCTAGACACACCCCTGAAAGATGGTTGGACATGGATAAACATGAGACCAGTCGGGCAGAAAGATGACTTTATATTCTGTTTCTAAAATCAGTTTATAAGTTATTGATTGCAGATGTGAGAGTGCTCTGTTGGTACTCTCTCATGTGCTTAAACACAGCACTAATGAGTCCTTTGGCCTAACATGTTATATACCACGGCCCAAAATGAGCACAGAAACATGTTTATACCTGTAGCATCGCCTCAATCAGCTGTTTGCTTTAGTATTTGTAATCCTGTTGTCTTCTTTCTCTTCTTCTAGACTCTGTTCTTGCTTCCTGGGTCCCTCTGATGTCATCATGGCAATGTAAGAAGCGCTATGGCAACAGTTTCTCCAGTCACGGCACCCTGTGTGCTGGCAGTCCTCCAGACACCAGCCTCCTCCATGACGACAGTTGCCAGGGCAACTCTGGAGGCGGGTTAGTGTGTCAGGCGGAGACAGGTCGATGGATCCTCACTGGCGTTGTCGCCGGGGGTTACGGCTGCGCTGATCCCTCCTCACCTGCGCTCTACACGCGAGTCAGCCGCTTCAGGAGCTGGATCGACGAGGTCATCAATGTGCAAGCACGCCCGGAGGCGCCAAACGCACATATACAAGGAGATCTGCCACACAATGACATAACACACATGCACAGCGAGGGCAAAGATGTGTCCTTCCACACGCACAGCAAACACGCACACGATCAGCAGCCATCAAATGAAATCAATGAGATTAAACACACACACTCTCATCATTCACACACCAAAAACACACACACACACCGGGCGGAGGACGCAAACACACAAATTCTGGTCTGATTGAGGCCGTGCCGTTGGCTTACCACCTGTGCCATGTGACCACCTGAGGAGGGTTAAAGGATGAGGAAAAGAAAAGAAAGATGCTCCCAAACTTCAGTCAGTGCAAATGGCCGTCTGTCAAATCTGAACTCAGTCTACGTGAATCGCGGGTGTGTGCTGTGGGCAGGCTTTCCTGAGCTGTACGGGTCATTTGCGGTGCTCGACGTGTGAGTTTCAGCCCGTTTAGACCAAAACAGGTCGACAGATTTATCAGCACGCCGATCAGGCCCTTTTACTGAAAATAAAAAAAAATCCCAATTGCATGTACTTTAAGGAATCTACTGCTCGTGTAAAGTATTCCGGGGGGAAAATTTTGAGACGGTCACACAAGAATCTATGCTAATTTCACCTATTTACATTGTGTGAGCTTAAGAAAAAGAGCAAAACATCAAGTACAAAGGCTGACTGATCATCACTGATGTCCCTTTGAGATGATTAATGTAGATAAACTCCAAACTCCTCGCAGAAGGTGAGGCTCGTCCCACATTAGGTTTTTATAAAAATCCAGATGTGGCTTTCTTTTTCAAACAGGGCTTCTCTCTTCAGGCTGTTGTCTTATACCTTTACTGGTGAAAGTGCAGTTGTTCATTTGGACCCATGACTAAGCTACTTAACTCAGGACCATACCACTGATTTAGCAAGTTTTAGTGCATTTATTAACAAATTAGGTCACTTTGCATTACACACGTTCTCCTTTAGCTTGTTTCTTATTTGGATAGATTAACCTTATTTGCCCCTTTTAAAGCGCTTATTAATGCCTTACTGAGCCAATCTCTTTGTAATCTCTTTTATCTTCCTTCCTTTCACGTCACCTCTCAACCAGTCACGGTCTCTCCCTGATCCTGGTTGACCCGGAGGTCTCTTCCTGGTAAAATTGAGTTCTTCCTTCCCACTGTTGCCAACATTGTACTTACTGTCTGATCATTGTAGTAAAAAAGTCTATTGCATCAACTGTTTGGGAATTATTAATACAAAGTTGTTGTACGATTGACTGACAAACAGTCTCATGACCAGATAGGGCAGTTCCCTAATTTTTCTATAATAAATTAAACAGATAAAAGATGCAAAGTTGATTTTAAGTGTTGACCATGCATTTGAAATATTTAAGGCACAAAGCAATGAAAGTGAAGGTGACCATCATTGGGCTGAAGAACCAAAATAAACCCATCAGAGAGATAGCAAAAACTTTAGGAATGGCCAAATCAGCAATCTGGGACATTCTGATTACACTCAAGAACAACAAGGCCAGATTAGGCTTTGCCAGAAAACAGAGGGACAGATGAAACCAAGATTAACTTGTGGCAGAATGATGGGAAGACAAATGTATGAAGAAGGAGAGAAACAACTCATCAAGTTCTGTCAGAGCTTTGCAAGGGAGGAAGCCGAGCATTTGATGTTGTCCATAGGTTTTAGACTTCAGGCGGGGGTTTTGATCCAAGAATTAAAAACAACCGCTATATTGAAAATAATGCCAGTTAATATGTTTTAAAATGGCTGTAATTCCCAAACAGTTAATGGAATACTTTAGTAAAACCCCTTGAATTAAAGCTGAGACTCTGCACTTTAACCACATATTGATTGCGTGATTGAAAATCCACTGCGAAGGTGTGCAGAGGCAAAAAATTTTTTAAAAATCTTATTGTCCAAATATTTATGGACAGACCTCTACCTTAACAAACTGATGTAGTGATAAAGTACAATCATGCAAAGTAAGGGATTATTATGTGCTTTGTCTTGATCATTGATATTTGCAGTAAGCCGCAAATATCACACAAACTTAGACTAACCCAATACAACCAAAAGGAAATAAGAAAAATTGAAATACATATGAGAAATTTAATCATTGTGTGTTACATTATATTACAGAAATATATGATTTTTTCTATTATGCCAGAACCTTTAATAACAACAAAATGCATATTATTCTTGGTTAAATGAAATAAATTTAAAAAAATGGTTAAAATACAATTTTATAATAATGCCAATGATTTTCTTTTGGCTGTGGTTAAAAAGAAGAATCCCTGCTAGTGTGATTAATGTGTTATTAATTAATGTGATTTTTGTGCAATACTAAATCAAAATCCATGACACTAAATGTCTTATCTGTAGATATTTTCTCAGAGTAGTCTAGGGGTAAACCAGGCCGCTCATCCTATGATAACAGCATAGAACAAACAGCTGCAGGCGTCTGATCATTGATTTCTGATGTCTGAGCAGGGAAACAAAGGAAACGGTGGCTGAATGACAACAACCTTGTTTGGAAATAAGTCCACGGTTGCATTAAGTGTACTGGTTAAAGAGCTAAAATGTGCAAAAACACTGGTATGGTCCTTTAAAATTGTACAGGACTCTCCTTTTAAAGCCATTGGAAGCTGACTGTTGGGTCATAAATATCTTTTTGTACTGGCTCTAGATAGATAAATAGACAGGTCCTCAGATAGACAGATAGCTAGCTGCTACTTCTGCATTTAGATAGTATGTGTTCTGCATTCATTCTTGACTGGATTAGATAGCCGAGCTGGTGAAGTTAAACGTTGTCTGATCTGTTGTTCTCTGAGCAGATGTGTGATCTGACCAGACGATGGCGACATTGCTCTATTTTAACAGGGTCCATCAGGTACCCTGGTGGTTCTTTTTATACTGTTTATGCTGTAAGTGTATGGACTTGTGCTTAATATACTGTGAACCATTGTGTCGTGAAGCATCCTGTAACCTTCAACTCCAACATTTCTCCAAGCCTGTTGTTATAATCCTGTACATAAACTCAAGCCCTGCTACCACAGACTTGATGTTTGACCATGCAGATCCTGTTGGTTCATGTAAATACTGTATGTCTCTGGCTGGGCGATGAGGGCGCAGACAGGCTAAAGGGTTTCAGATGTACTCCTGCTTTACCTGTGTTAAACCCATCAGCTGCTCCTCAGTGTAATGTGCTGAATCATGGTTGAGTATTAAAAATGTGTACCTGCTGAGAACAAGTGAGTGTTGCTGTCATCTCTGTTTTTAGCACCAGATATTTATTAATTAGCTTTCCTGAACTCTGTTTTCCCCATGTGGCGAGAAAACAAGAAAAGAGCTAAAAAATGCAGTTCCTCTAATGACCACTTGAGGCTCTGAAAGGGAGTGAATTAACAAGTTTAGAACCTGAAACGGTGGTTTGGTTACTTTTATTGACTGTACTTTATTCTACACATGGGCACTTCTCACGCCAAGAAGAAAAGAAAAATGTGGCCAAAATGCTAAAATTCAAATTGTAAATAACCTAAACTAGTGGTTGTGTCCATCTTTTATTTACAGTCTATGTTTTCATGTCCATTAGATCAGCGATCCCCAACCTTGTCTGACAATATTTTCATGGACTGACCTTTTAAGGTGTCGCGGATAAATACAACGAAATAAAAGCAGTAACGGTACCAAAAAAAGAAGATTTATTCATAACACACAAAGACCCAGGGAAACCGAGCTAACGATAAAAAAAAATAACGATTAAAAACCCCGAAAACCATCAATTTTACACCCGAGCCTCAACTTTGCGGCCCGGTACCAAATGACTGATGGACCGGTACCGGTCTGTGGCCCGCTGATGGGGACCGCTGAATTAGATTATATTGTCTCAACACTTTCCACTAAGAAATATTAAACTACAAAAAAATCTTTCTGATTTTAATAATCTTGGTTGGTTTCCATACTAGAAACATGGATTTTATAAACTGGGGGGGAAAAAGTGGGAGATTGCTTACAAAACGTTTCTACCGTCCAAGTAATTGAAAAGTAAATCTGCTTAGCTGCTGCTCTCAGTCACCCATGAGCGCCGTTAATCTCTTCTTTTGTTGGAATGGGCTCCCCTCTGAAATAAAAGGGGATCAGAGGATACCCTTGCTGGACTGGATTGACCAGACTATTGAAAACTGTAGAACAAGTGATTTATAACGAGTATAATTGAGATGGTTTTGTTGGGACAAGGCTAATTATTTATAAATCTGACTAATGATGCTAATGATTTGAACAAGATGGGATGCGATTATTGGGATACAAATTTGAATTTGGGCTGGGAATATCGGATTAACATTAAAGTGTATAAAAAAATCTTTGCTTTTTATCTTTCTCACTGTTTGTCTTCTTGTAACCTTTCCTTAATTTTCCCTTTATTCCTTTTATTTCAGACGTGGATGAAATAGTACAATTTATTCTCATTTAAGGGTACTTATACCACAATGCAAAAAAAAAAACCTAGAAAAAAAGTTAGTTTTATCTGACTTATAGTTCAAAATAATCCTTATTTAACTTGTACTGGGTCCTCTGCCTTAGCTCCACTCCCTTTAAACTGCCTTTCTTCTGATTGGCTGCCACTAACAAACAGCAGATGACCATATTAGGGAAATCCCCTCCCTCTGATGTCATAGAAAGCCAAGAATAGAAAAAAAAAGTGTGAAATTGAGCATCTGAGCAGTCACATGTTTGATCCCATCCCACCACATCCCAAATGCACTCTGGTGGTTATAAAAGGATGGATATCTTTACTGTCTACATGTGTAAATGCATTGATGGGAGGATAAGATATCTGATCAGCAATCGGTCGATAATGTGTCAGATGAGTGTATATATGATCGAAATGAAGGAAAATTGTGATAAAACCCCTTCAGATAATGCAAACTAAAAAAAAAAAGAATTTTCCAAGTAACACAACTTAAATTGTCTGATAAATCTGTCAAATGTAAGAAATAAATGGTACATAAAAACATCTGGATAAAACAGGGTCAGCAGCGGTAATACTGACACAAACACCAGAGCAAAAGTTCAGACAGATAATGATGAGCTATAGAGAAACAGCGCACAGAGGTGCGTGCACACGGATAATTGCTGTGTCATTTTCTAATTTAAGCTTGCAGAGCACGTGTATGGGCTGCATTCATACCCTCAGGTGAGTGGATGCATCTGTGTGAGCCAGTGAATAGTGTTATGTGGGCCTTCGGTAGGATACAAGATAATATGTTAGTTCACCTTTAACTGAAAGATTAGAGCCAAGTTAATCTGGCTTATTCAGTATGTTTGAGTATCAGGGCAAAGAAAACACGAGCTCGGAGATGAAAAACAAAAGCTGATATTGTTTTCCAGGAAGTAACATTGTGGTTTACGTAAGCTTGCCGCCATGGCTTCCTGCAGCAGTCTCTGGTGTGAAGAACAGTTTCAGTGCTCAACCTCTGAGGTCTTCACTGAGCCCTTCACTGAGCCCATGTCTGTTGCAATGTTTCCTCAACTTCTGTGAGGCCTGCTGGGACAATAATGACCACTGCTAGTTTGCAAACTGCAAGCAGGTCTCAGATCAGTTTAAAGGAATAAAAGAAAGAAGCACAGACAAACCTGCCACAGTGGATGGAGGTGAAGCCTGCGAGAGCTGCACTTTTACAGAATTTCTCCATGAACGCCTGACATCTTTGTATGAGAGTCACCTGGAGCCTCCACAGGGTTGAAGGCCTGAAGAGAAAGACATGCTGTGCAATCTTAAGATCACTGTGGACCACAGGATGCACAAGAATCGCAGCCTTCTTCTGGACTTGCTTAGCAGGACGGAGCGTGTTTGCACTCATTCTAGACTTTGAATGAAGAACTCGACCCATATTTACCCTGTAGCACAGATCCTATGGCTATAATCCTTGTAAAAGCTTAATATCAAGATATGTATTCTACACATTAACAGGATTAAGGTTCAAAAGTGGGCATTTCAGTCCTGTCAGACCTAAGGTAATATGTTCAGATGTTCAAACACTTTATGTTTTAGTAAACTTACATTGTGGTGTGGCTCATCTAGACACGAATAAACACCTGAGAGGATATATAGTATCGGGGTGCTGTGTGCAGGAATAACACAAAATAAACTGCAATGCTGATGCTCATGGTTGCATGATGCAATGGTCTGATGCGTTGTTAACAGTTTTTGGGCTTCAAGGACTTTTGTAAAAGCTTTATGAGACAAAAGATTTGGAGTGAATAGTGTGAAGATACTGAATTTATTCTAACACACATACAACTTCCCCCCCTTAGCTGTGCTGTTTCCTGTGATAGCCTTTGAAACTTTGCTTTTTTGTACTGCCAGAGACACTGAAATCTAAAAGAGAACTCTGCAACAGCAAAGATAGTGGAACAAGTTTAACTTTTAGGGGTTAAAAAGAGCTTAAAAACATTATTTTGGGGTGAAGTCAGCAAACCTTTTAAGTGGTTTTTGTCAAATTTCAGTTTTTATGTCCCTGTAACTGTCCCCAGTAAATGCTTTAAAAGCACTTTAAAACTTTAAAAGCATTTTGTACTCTTTGATGTGCTGACTTTTGGGACTTGCAGTCAGTGAGCACATATTTCACCTGGACACTTGATGTTGAAAGCTGGGACATTTGCTCTTTTCTCACTATTATTTTTAAAACTTATATTTTAAAACGATTCCAGTTTTGCAAACTAACCAAATAAACTCACAGTGGATAGAATCTGTGGGCTGTATCTATGAGTCACTGGTGAGTTTCTAGTGGTAGTGACATCAGTGGTTACCACCTTAGGCTGAGGGATTTTGTTTGTGCGAGGCTGACAACAACCGAAATGGGTGGAGCGGGTTTGTGGACTGGATACCGGCACGCCTCGGTGGCAAATGTGTGATTTTATATGATGTTTTTTAAGTAGTTACAAGCATTTTGCAGGATCACCTTGCCACAAAAGCTGAGCATGATTGAAAAGACTTTTACAAACTCTGAGATGAAAGAATGAAAGACGGGGAAAAGTCCTTTCAGACCTCAAAGTCAAAAGTAATTTACATTCAGGAGACTTGTTCTGGCTTTTCTCCCAATTTCATAGGCACTAAAAAGTCAGAGGTCAGAGAGAGCTAACAAGACACATTCCCTCCAGAGTTCCTCCCTTTCTGTGTCTTTGATAAAGTAAGTATAAGTGTGGAAGTTAACCAACTGCAGAGCTCTTCTCATTAATCACACAGAAAGCAAAGGAACCAGGGGGAGCTGTCCTACATCCCAGATTCACACACACACAAGTCAGACCCTTAAAATAACCGGGACCATCATAAATAACAGCACAAAACCTTTTTAAATGAAGCTGAATCATTACTCAACGCTTCAGTGTTCGGCTCAAATAAGACCACTGGAAAACGGTAAAGGCTGAAGTGGTGAGAAGGGAAGCTGCACTATCTGTTGAGCAGCGATTGCTTTAGTCTGTATGCATGTTAATGGCCTGCAGGCTTTGCAGTGTTACTCTGGGCTTAATCTGAATTCGTGATGCGATGACAGTCCTGCACAGAGGGCAAATATTATGCCAGCTGTTGTTGCTCAGTGCATCCTGCCAACCAGTGACACACAACCTACTGCCAGTTTGTTTAACTCTGCTCTAATCAAAATCTTCCTCCTGCAGCAAGCCAGTGTCTCCTTGCTTAACATCGCCTGGGACAAACTAGTATCCTTCCTAAAATTCCCCAAAAGCGAGTATGGGAGCAGAGATTTTCAGCATAACTAATCAATGTTGCAGTGTTACATAATCTGCAAAGTGTGTTACATCTCTATTAGCGCCAAATTTGGTGATTTCAGGACAAGTATGAGCGACCATGGTGACAGAAAGCACACTGGGTAAACACAAAGGGTTTTTGGCAGGTTCCTCTGTCTGGGAATGGATGGAGTGCAAGCGATGGATACCTTTCTACTAAGATTTTTTTCTTTTTAAGAGAAAGGACAAAAATGTTTCCATTTGACAGTGGCTTTCATGAGGTTAAAAAAAATAGCAACAAAAAAGAATCTAAGTTGAATTGAATGAAAAACAGGTCAACAGCATAGCATTATCATCCTCTGGGGCCCACTGGGGCCAATGCAAACCAATGCATTTTAGCACATTACACCTGATCAAGACAACCTGCTGAAGTCCAAACTGACCATCAGAAAGGAAAAGAAAGGATTTAAGTGGTCCACCCTGATCTGCACAGATTTACAAATAA